AGATCTATCTGCAAGATGCATAATAAGATTGGTCTCCTTTAAAGTGTTAATTCCCAAAGCTCTACATACTGTCAATGGCATCAAGTTTATACTGGCTCCCAAATCGCACAATGCCTTTCCCACCTCCACATCTCCTATAGCAATATAGATACTGAAACTTCCAGGATCTTTCATTTTTGTTGGAAGCTTCTTCTGGACTAGGGCACTACACTCTGCTGTTAGGGCCACTGTCTCACCATCAGTTAATTTCCTCTTTTTAGTAAGAAGATCCTTCATGAACTTTGCATAGTGAGGCATATTCTCCAGTGCTTCAGAAAATGGTATGTTAATTTGTAAATTTTTGAAGATATCTAGAAATCTTGCATAGTGCTGTTTCTGAATCTCTTGCTTCAACCTTTGAGGGTAGGGAACTCTAGCATAGGGAGATAAAATAACTGGCTGTTCTTTCTTGTCAGCCATCTTCTTCTTTTCCCACTTCATCATCTTTTGTGGGGAAGCATTTTTACCAACTTCTACCTCTCCTTCATTCTTATTGTCCTTCCCTTCCTCTTCTTTCTCAATTCCAACTATAACATCTCTAACAACTACTTCCTTCTCACTTTTCTCATTTCTCATCTTCTCTACTTCATCATCAGAGACTACATCTTCAACTACAACCTCTTCTTCATTCTTTTTATTTTCCACATTCTTTTTCACTGGTTGAAGTACCAACCCACTTCTTGTCATAATTGCTTTACAGTGCTCCTTAGGATTCACTAATGTATCACCTGGAAATTTCCCTTGTGGTCTCTCTGATATCTGTCTTGATAATTGACCAATCTGGGTCTCCAAATTTCTGATTGATGCTTCCTGATTTCTGAAAGAGGTTCTGGTCTCCTGCATGAATGCATTGTCTCTTCCTTGAATGAATTAGACCCCTGGATATAATCCTGAGTTGTCTTAGATAACTGAGCAAACGCTTTCTCCCATGCAGCAGGATCACTTGACTGCTCCTTCATATGTGGTGGTGGAGGATGTAATGGTGGGTTCAATTGATGGTTGGAACTATAGCTGAATCATGGGTGTTGATTCTTGTTCTTCCATGGTGGCACATAAACATTCCTTCCCTGATTGTTGTAGTTCCTTTGATTATTCTGATCATACCACACTCCATTCACCTCTGCTTGTTCTGGTGATCCCCCATAATCACACTCCTCTGTCACATGGCCTTTGCCACAGATAGTTGCTTAATAAGGGTATCCAACTGTTGCTGTTGTTGTCTCTGTGTCTGCATCAGTTGATCATTCCTTGCCAACAGAGCATCATACCCATCCAACCTGATGATTCCTGTCCTGTCAGCCACTGGGGCATTATCAAATTCCTGAGATGCCAATGACTCAAAAATATCCAAGGCTTCTTGAGGAGTCTTGGTAGTCAATGATCCACCAGCAGTGGCATGCACCAAGGTTCTAGTGTTAGTGGTCATTCCTTGCAGGAAGATTGCTGCTTGTTGCCATGCCTCAATTCCATGCTGTGGACATTTCTTCAACAAAGTCTTGAATCTCTCCCAAGCCTCATAAATGGATTCTGACTCTTTATGCTTAAAGCTTGTAATCTCATCCTTCAACTTGGCCCTCTTGGATGCTGAGAAAAACCTCTGCAAGAACTTGGTTTGCAGACCATCCCAAGTTGTTATACTTCGTTGTGGCAATGATTGCAGCCATCTCCTTGCATCATCCGTCAGTGAATGAGTGAATAATCTCAACATAATTGCATCTCTTGTGACACCATTTATCTTCACAGTATCACTCAACAATAGAAAGTTCTCTATGTGCAAGTAAGGGTCCTCTGCACTGGTTCCAGCAAACTGATCCTTCTGCACCAAATGTATCAAAGTAGGCTTCAATTCAAAGTTGTTGGGCTCCACTGTTGGGCGCACAACACTCCCAATTGGAGAAATCACCGCAGGAGTCATGTACTCTCCCAGTGTCCTCTGTGGTGGTGGTGGTGGTCTGTGATTCTCTGCCATTATCTCTTCCTGATTAACCGTACTGGATTCACCAATTTCTTGCAATTGTCTCCTTTGCCTGGCTGCCCTTTTGTGCTTCCTCAATGTCCTTTCTAATTCTGGATCATACAACAACAAATTTGCATCAAGTGTACCTCGCATATACCAGAATCAAAATTGACCAGAAACTTAACATAAACTAAAATACTGAAAATAAAAGGATTCAATCTCAGAATTCTATGGTATCAGTTAGTGTTGAAAAACAAATTCCCCGGCAACGGCGCCAAAAACTTGTTGGACGTTTAACAAGTGCACTAGTCGTACAAGTAATAAAATGATGAGTAAAGATCGTTCCCACGAGGAATTGTGTTCAATCACCAATAAACCATAGAAAACTAATTTGAATCAGATAAGAATTTGTAAAAGTCATGAATAATTTGTTACCAGAAAATTGATTGTAAGTAATTTGACACAAAATAAATATGGATTAAGAATTAATAAAACAACAAGTAGTCAGAAAACAACTTTCCTCCATAATAACCCATGTAAAAACTGATCATATGATGAATTCTTTTCCATGTGATGTTAATCAACCTTTTACTTATCATCAAGATGTAATCCCTTACTACCCTGATAGATACATTAATCAGAAACCCCAATCCCTTGGTGATCTCTTTCTTAATACATGCATGACATACTAAAGTCTTAAGATTACATCAGAACTCTAGCATCAATCCTTTGAGTACTAGAATTCTGATGTTGAGATTATCAGACACAGAAGTCATATAAACATCCCTGTTCTACACTACTTCCTTGATAGAAATAATTAAATCAGAAAATCTCAAATCAACACATGAAAAATACTTCATCATATTAATCAGATCAACATAATATTATTATGGAGTTCTATTGCATTCAGACTACAAAGACTCTACTCAGACATGACTAAGGAATAGACAAGAGAAGAAGAATCAAACTTTATTTCCATGTTGAAAGTCTTCAATCTCCAAACTATTACAAAGAAATCCTACTACAAAAACTAAAACACTAAGAGAATTTAGAGAGAATTCAGACTAAAGTTTAAGAGAGAGAGAAAGTATATCAGATCTCCTCAGATCCAGCTTTTTACTAAGTGTGAAGGCTTTGCCTTTTATAGTGTTACATTTAAAAACAGAAAACTGATGTGGGCGCTAAAACGTCCATAAGTGACCGTTTTAGCGTCCATGCTTTACGTATGCTCAACTGCTTTTAACTTACTCCAACGCTAAAACGTTAAGGAATGACCGTTTTAGCGTCCAAACTTGATGGATGCTCAACTGACTTTAACTGACTCCAACGCTAAAACTCTTGATTTGGACGTTTTAGCGGTGGAGACCAGAGTCCTTTTTCCACTTCAGGGCGCTAAAACGCTTATTGCAGGCCGTTTTAGCGCCCAAGACCATCAATTTTCCATCTTCTAAGTGCAGCAGCGCGCTAAAACGCTCTGTGTGGGCGTTTTAGCGCTCATCACCAGCAAGTTTTGGCCTCTTCCTGTAGCAGGGCGCTAAAACGCTCAGTGTGGACGTTTTAGCGCTCAACACTAAGGCAATTTTTCTCCTCTTGAGCTCCAGAATCTTCTTCCTTCTCCAGTTTCCTTTCAAGCTTGCTTTTCCTACAAGAATCATACAAATTTCCAATAAAGCTCTTGAACTTGTAATTGAGGACATCTTAGGACATTAACCTTGTTTTTCATCATTTAATCACACAATTTGATCCTAATTCCTGCTAAAAACTATGATGAACTAAGGGTTCATCATTGCTCCTCTACCAAACGCCCCCTAAGTAAAATTACATTGACTTCCTTTCTTTTACCTTTTTCCAAATTGGGCCATATTGTTTGGCCCAAATACTTGCATATCATACTTCATTTATCCCAAATAAATCAGAATCTAAACCATTAAAATATACATAATTCAAAGCTAACAAATCCCAATTAATTATTCTCACACCAAATGTTGTTGCTTCGATATTGAGAAAATTTCTTCAATATTCACAAATTACAAGGTTGACTTTGGGAACTAAATACAGCTACTTGGTTGACTGAAAAATCGAATTTGAACTTCTTTTAGCAAGTTGAAAGGACGATCTCCCACTCTGGGACCATGCTGTAGGGAAACGTGCAATGTGAACCTAAGAATCTTCTTGCAAAATTCCAAATCCAAAAACAGAACTAAGTGGCCATTGTAACAGGAAAATATAAACTTTACAAAGTGCTTTAATTATAACATTGACAAGGATGGGAGTTTGTGGAATTTTGGCTGGTAATCTATCATAGTGCCCTGTATACAATGCCACTAGCTATCAGCTCAAGATCCCACATCCATTAATCTTTGAATACTTGTTTCATTGGTGAAATGCTTCATAGCAAATGCCAAATCTTTTGTTTTTTTTTTTTTTTTTCTTGTTCAATTTTCTCTACTATAACAAGTACCATTAAAGTCCATAATATCATGCATGTAGCTCACATTTAACTATCATAGATACAATAATTAATATCTTTATATGATAATCAAATTAAAATGTTCTATATTTGACCATACGTTTTTCAAGGAAAATGTGATATTCATTATTGAAGCGGGAAATAAAAGGAAAGAGAATTCAAGTTAAAAAAAAATAAAAAATTATCGATATTGTTTAGTTGTACCAAATAGTAATAATTACTAGTATATAACTAACAAACATGTACCTTATCACTACAACTACCTATATGTATCATCTCAATGGTAATCTTAGCATTAGTTCAAGCCTTTCCTTGCACGTTCCTTTGTTTCTACAATGCATTCATTCCACACCATATGTGTACAATCCCACCGACACACCCCACACTAGTACTATTCTCAACTTTAATAATTCTTCACGCGCATTTATGCTTCCTTTCAACTTCACCTCTATATGCCTATAAATCACCATTTTTCCAAAACACATCGCATTCCCTCAAACCCCATTTCTAATATCTCATTAAACCTTAAAAAATATGTCATGCCCCCAAATTTCCCTCTCTTTCTCCATTCTCTTCTTAGTCCTCTTAGCACCATTACTCCTAGCACAATCTCCATCTCCTCCTCCTCCAAACCATGCTTCTCTTTCTCCTTCTTCTGCTTGCAAATCCACATTGTATCCAAAACTATGCCGTGCAATACTCTCAGCTATTCGTTTCTCACCTTCTGATCCATATGGTTATGGCAAGTTCTCTATCAAACAAAGCCTCAAACAAGCAAGGAAACTAGCCAAAGTGTTTGAGGACTTCCTCAAACGACACCAATCTTCTTCTCTCAACCATGCAGAGGTTGCTGCATTAGGTGATTGTAGAGACCTCAACAATCTCAATGTGGATTACTTGGGGTCCATCTATGAGGAACTCAAATCAGTTGGTTCTTCTGATACAGAGTTGGTTGAGAAAATTGAAAGTTATCTAAGTGCTGTTGCTACCAACCACTACACTTGCTATGATGGATTGGTTGTGACTAAAAGCAACATTGCAAATGCTCTAGCAGTGCCACTTAAGGATGTGACACAGTTGTACAGTGTGTCACTTGGGTTGGTCTCTGAGGCTCTAAATAGAAACCTCAAAAAGCTTAAGACCCGCAAACATGGCCTTCCCACTAAGGCCTTCAAGGTCAGGCAGCCACTTGAGAAGCTCATCAAGGTAATCCATTATTTCTGCATTGTTGTGTTACTTTTAATATTATGAATTTTTTAAATTGCTTGTTGTGATTGGAAGATATGAGTCTGAGTTTCAAAAATAGTTTTTTTACAAAAATTTAAGGTAAGGCCGCCTAAGTTGACCTTCATCCCTACCCTCACACTTGGAGAACCTTGTGCATAGAAGTGAGAAATAGAGTGATTCTTCTTATCCAACTAATAAAAAAATAAAAGTTGAATGACTGAGGAAGGACTTAAGTTCGATCCTCACTAATGTTATATTGGAATTAATTTTTTGGCTGACTCAAAGAACTTGTTCTGATATCCCGCCTCAAAAAACTAATTAAGGTTGATATATAAAAATAAAAATTCAATCCATCATATTTAATGATTAAATGTGACAACTCAACAAGATAAGCCCATTTTGCCACCTCAGCTTATGCATTGCAGTTTGCCCTTTTTGACCCTTTTATAATTATTATTTTGTTGTGAGGTAGGTTGCCTTCAATTTGTGTCACCGACAACTTCGAAGTTCAAATTATTGGTCTTAAAATTATATGTCCTAGGTGAGCATATAGAGGCATGATCTAATGTTATATCTAGATTAGCTTAATTAATTTAATTTGCATCATAAACGAATGTATGATCTATGTCCCAGTTTTTCGTCCATTTAATCATATGATGAACAAAGCGCAGTAAAACATGATTCGTTGATTAGTTTAGTTCATTTTAATATTATACCTTTTCTTAAAAATTTGATTTTTTCCAGAAGTTCCGTTTTAATGAGATTTTTTCTTCTAAGTGCAATTGAAATCAATCCTTTATTCTATTTATACAAGACAACAAGTTATGTCACATTAGACATCATTATTACACTTATCTAGTATCTGATGACATGATGCAAAAAATCAAACTTACATAAACTAAAACATTTTTTTTTAACTTCCATGAAGAAGTAGTTTAGTATAAAAAATAATTATAAGTCAACCACATGTTTGATGCTTGTATAGGTTAACTATAGATCAAAGTAGTAAGCTCTGTTTTCCTCTGTTTTTGACGTTGAATGTTTTGACATAATCTAATAAATTTATAATCAATCACGTGGTGTCTTGCTTGTTTATCCATTTGGCAACAAACCATGCACATGTCATCTACCTTTTATTCATTACATGCCATTGGTTGATCAACCCATGAACAAATATTTGTAATTGATAAAAAGTTTCATAAATGAGCAAGGAATAAAGACAGCAAAAATAATAATGAATTAATAATGAACTTACAATAATATTATTCTCAGATATATTCAATTGTATTATTTAAAGAATAAAGACAGCAAAAAGAAAATGAAACAACTCATATATAACATGAACTTTCCTAAAGTCAAACAATTATGAATGCTACTACATACATACCAAGGCATATAATTAACTAATATAGCCTTAGTATTTGGTAAGAAAAAATTTAGTTTTTTTTTTTTTTTATATATATTCATTTATGCATGAATTTTTATCTTGGTCTTATACATAATCATAGTTTAATTTGATTATATATAATAAACGCTTAAAAGTCTATATTGAAATGCTAAATTTGGAATATTACTTTGTCGTAGCTTCTTCGCACAAAGTATAGTTGCAATAAATTATCCAATTGTACTAGAACTCAAAGGATTTTGAAAGAAAATGAAAGCCGAGGAATTCTACTCAACGACTTTGTTTTTGTGAGCCCTTATGAGACAGACAACTACACTTCCATTGGAGAAGCTATTGGTGCTGCCCCCAATAACACAAATCCACAAGATGGTTATTTTCTTATCTATGTTAGAGAAGGGTACTATGAGGAATATGTAATTGTTCCCAAAGAAAAGAAGAATATCCTACTAATTGGAGATGGTATTAACAAGACTGTCATCACAGGGAACCATAGTGTCATAGATGGTTGGACAACTTTCAATTCTTCCACCTTTGGTAAGAACTTTTCTTTCTAAACTCTCCTCATTTCCAAATACTTGTTTACTTGTCCTATTAACAATTCAATAGATAATAAATAAGAAAATCAATTCTTGAGAATTCACTTAACACCAAAAATTGTTATGGCAAATAATTTTTTTGTTGGGTGAAGGCACATGAAGCGTGATTATTGCATATGCCTATTTTTTATTTTTTATCTTGTACTTAAATTCAATTTTTTTTTATTATAAGAAAAAGAAAGGTAAGAATCAAACTCTAAACCACTTGGTTATAAGCTTGCATACCATGTCATGCAACCAACTTTTCCAAAAAATTTAATCTATTAGATGTACACACATGAATGATCTTATTATATCTTAAACACTATGTGTTAAAATATAACTTAAAATGCGACCCAACTAGACCCTAGTATTTGATCTGCTCAAAGGACAGTGAGTTTGATTCCTAAGGGTCGTAATTCTCGAAATCATTGCCAATCTTTTATTAATTTTCTGGATAAATAACCATATTTCCTTTTGTGTTGAATGCAGCTGTTGCTGGAGAAAGATTTATAGCAGTGGATGTTACATTCAGAAACACAGCTGGTCCAGAAAAACACCAAGCTGTAGCAGTAAGAAACAATGCTGATCTCTCCACATTCTACCGTTGCAGTTTTGAAGGATATCAAGACACACTTTATGTTCACTCTTTGAGGCAATTCTACAGGGAATGTGATATCTATGGTACTGTTGACTTCATTTTTGGCAATGCTGCTGTGGTCTTCCAGAGTTGTAACATATATGCAAGAAAACCTATGCCAAACCAGAAGAATGCTTTCACAGCACAAGGAAGAACTGATCCTAATCAAAACACTGGGATTTCAATCCAAAACTGCACAATTGATGCTGCACTAGACTTGGCCATGGACTTGAATTCTACTCAAAGTTACTTAGGTAGGCCTTGGAAGGAGTATTCAAGAACTGTTTATATGCAGTCATATATTGGTGATCTAATTCAACCTGCTGGATGGTTAGAGTGGAATGGCACAGTTGGGTTAGACACCCTCTTTTATGGTGAGTTCGACAACTATGGACCCGGTTCTAATACTAGCAATAGAGTTCAATGGGGTGGTTATAGTGTGTTGAATGCTACTCAAGCTTGGAACTTTACAGTGGTTAATTTTACTTTGGGAGATACATGGCTTCCTGATACAGATATACCTTACGTTGAAGGATTGCTAAATTAGATAACTCAAATTTTATATTGAAAAAATAAATTTGATTCATTATTGGTTAGATGTAATGTAACTATATAATTTTCATTTTAAGGAAGAGCATCCAAAAATGAGAGTCATCGATGTTTTAATGAAATTATAAAAAAAAAAATTATATATATATATATATATATATATATATATATATATTGTTGTAAAAAATAGTTTAGAATAGTAGTATAGAAGTCTCATATCATGTATATCTCTTTGTATTTTCTTTCTTTGAAGTTATATAATAGACTCTCTGCTGTGTAGTTGAGACTTGAGACACACGGATTACTTATAAATCTTCTTGTTCCTGATATTCAACATGGTATCTAAAGCCTAACAATATCTACATCTTTCCGGTAGACTCACTGTCTACCGAGTAAAAATCTTCCCGGAAACTGTCACCGTCATCAGTTTCTGGCCACCGTCTGCCACCACCGTCCTCCACCGGAAAAGTTTTCCGGCGACCGTTCTGATCAAAAAGTACATCAACGGACTCAGAAGAAGCCGATCTACCCAACACCGCAAGACCCACCGTCATCAGAGGTTGCCAGCGCCATGGACCACCAATTTACCGCCACCACTGTTCACTTTTGCGGCACTTTTTCCGGCGAGCCACCCATAGTTGTGATCGTCACAAGGAGGCAGTTCTCTCTGTCCAAGGCCCACTCCCAAATTCCCACTGACGCACCCTCACGTGGATGAAACATATGCGCGACTTCCACCGTCAGGATCACCTTCCCCTTCCATGTTTAGATCGATCTTTGACTTGTGGTTTCAAGTCCGTTGCGGCCTTTCCGAAGCATTTCTCCTCTTTCCATCACTGTTCACGACATCTTTGTTTTAGAGAATTGTTCTTGATCCATGGCTGATTCTGGCTCATTTATCCTTCCTCAAGATATTTCTCAGCTCACGATCCCTGGTTCCACTGCTACTGTTGTGCATACAAGTAATAGCGTTGCTGGTTTCACTCAAAGTTCATCATTTGATCATTGGGTTCTTCATTCTGGTGTCTCTGTTCATATTTCTGGTAATAAATCTTTATTTTTCTCTCTTACTACCTCTTGTTATTTGCCTGCTGTCACTATGGCTAACGGTTCCCAGGTTCAGTCTCATGGGATTGGAACAATACATCTCTTTCCCTCCATTACTATTGATAATGTGCTCTATGTCCCTGGTTCACCCTTTAATCTCCTTTCCATTAGCCGTTTAATATGTTCTCTTGATTGTCTTATTTCTTTTACCCAAAATTATGTTGTTTTACAGTATTGAAATTCGGGGAGGACAATTGGCGGCGGATTTGAGTCCAATGGCCTTTACCTGCTCTCCAGCTCCTCTCATGCTCATTCTGTATTAGATTATTCACTCACTATTCACGCTCAGTTGGGTCATCCTAGTCTGACAAAGCTCCAGAAGATGGTGCCACGTTTGTCCAAGCTGTCTACTTTCCAATGTGAATTATGTCAATTCGGAAAACATACTCGCAGTTCTTTTCCTGATATAGTCAATCGTCGTGCCTCCTCTCCTTTTAGTTTGGTTCACTCTGATGTTTGGGGACCCAGTCGTATTGAATCAACTCGGGGTTATAGATATTTTGTTACTTTTATTGACGATTATTCTTGAAACACTTGGTTATTTTTACTGAAAAACCGCTCTGAGTTGTTCTCCATATTTCAGAAGTTTTATTATAAAATTCTTACTCAATTTGGTATTCCTATTCGCACTTTTCGTAGTGATAATGCTCGTGAGTATCTGTCTCAACCATTTCAATCATTCATGGCCTCTCATGGCATTCTTCACCACACATCATGTGCGCACACCCACCCAACAAAACGAAGTTGCTAAAAGAAAAAATCGTCATCTTATTAAAATAGCTCGGACACTCTTAATTCATAGGAATGTTCCTGCCAGTTTTTGGGGTGATTCTGTTCTCACCGCATGTTATCTCATTAATCATATGCCTTCCTCTGTCCTTAGTAACCAGGTATCATACTCTATCTTGTTTCCCCATCAGCCTTTACATTCCTTACCCCTTCGTATTTTTGGTTCTACTTGTTTTGTCCATGAACTCGGTCCCAATCGTGACAAGTTGTCTACCAAATCCCACAAATCTGTGTTCCATGGTTACACCCGGACACAAAAAGGTTATCGGTGTTACTCTCCCAGTCTCCGTCGCTCTTTTGTCTCGGCGGATGTTGCTTTCTTTGAGTCTGTGCCATTTTTTGGCTGCACCTCCGTTCTCGATGACTCTGTTGATACTCAGTTACCTTTACCCTCTGTTCCAATTCAATATGTTCTGGCAACAGATTCCACACCACCACCGCCTATTGTCACTTCTCCATATGTCCCAACACCAGATCCTCGTCTCCAGGTTTATCACCGTCAGTCACATCCACCCATACCCCAAGACATTGATGAGGTTCCTATGGACTCAAATCTGCCGTCATCAACTCCTGGGGCTTCGGTCCCGCCCTCCGACATTGACCTACCCATTGCTCTCCGAAAAAGTATTTATAATATTCGTCCTCCACCCAGGTATTCAATGAATATGAGTTATCATCGCCTTTCTCCATCATATTTTGCTTTTCTTTCTTCTTTGTCTTTTGTATCTGTTCCTAAGACTACAGGTGAGGCATTATCCCATCCCGGATGGCGACAGACTATGATTGACGAGATGTGCGCACTTCATGGCAGTGGTACTTGGGATCTGGTTCCTCTTCCCTCTAGAAAATCTGTTGTTGGATGCAGATGGATATTTACTGTCATGGTTGGTCCTGATGGACAGGTGGATCGTCTCAAAGCATGTTTGGTGGCCAAGGGATACACTCAAGTGTTTGGTGAAGATTATGGGGATACATTTTCCCCTGTGACAAAAATGGCGTCTGTTCGCCTCTTTATTACTATGGATGCTATCCGTCACTGGCCCCTTTATCAATTGAATGTCAAAAATGCTCTCCTCAATGGTGATCTCGCAAAAGAAGTTTATATGGAGCAACCTCCTGAATTTGTTGCTTAGGGGGAGTCCAGTCTAGTTTGTCGATTCCACAAATCTTTGTATGGTCTCAAACAGTCTCCACGAGCTTGGTTTGAGAGGTTTAATACCATTGTCCAGCAGTTTGGTATGACTCGGAGTGCGGTTGATCACTCAGTCTTTTATCGCCTCTCAGACTCTGGATCCATTTATTTTGTAGTATATGTTGATGACATTGTCATTACAGGTGATGACCATCATGGCATTACTCAGTTAAAACAACATCTCAGTCATCATTTTCAGACAAAGGATCTCGGAAGACTACGATATTTCTTGGGAATTGAAGTGGCTCAATCCAAGGATGGTATTGTGATATCCTAGAGGAATTATGCTATAGACATTCTAGAGGAGACAACTTTGTTGAATGCTAAGCCCGTCGATACCCTATGGATCCAAATGTCAAGCTTATGCCAAATCAGGGGCAGCTATTTTCAGATCCAGAAAGGTGTAGAAGATTAGTTGGAAAGCTGAACTACCTTACAGTTACTCAACCAGACATCTCATTTGCAGTCAGTGTAGTAAGTCAGTTCTTGAATTCTTCTTGTGAAGATCATTAGAATGCAGTGATCCGTATCCTCATGTACATCAAGGATGCTCCAGGTAAAGGTCTCCTCTATAAAAACAAAGGTCATACCAGAGTTGAGGGATACTCAGATGCTGATTGGACAGGTTCCCCCAGTGATAGAAGATCCACATTTGGGTATTGTTTATTCCTTGGAGGTAACTTGGATTCTTGGAAAAGCAAGAAATAAAGTGTAGCTGTCAGATCAAGTGCTGAAGCAGAATATCGCTCCATGGCCACAACCACCTATGAACTTATCTGGTTAAAACAACTATTGAAAGAACTCAAATTTGGAGACATTGGCATATCATCTCTCATTTGCGATAATCAAACTACTTTACATATTGCTTCCAATCCAGTGTTTCATGAAAGGATCAAGCACATTGAGATAGACTGTCGTTTTGTTAGAGAAAAAGTCCTCTCTGGAGATATAGTCACTAGTTTTGTTAACTCAACTAATCAATTAGCTGATGTTTTCACTAAGTCTTTGAGAGGGCCTAGGATAGATCACTTATGTAACAAACTTGGTGCATATGATCTATATGCTCCAGCTTGAGGAGAGTGTTGTAAATAATAGTTTAGAATAGTAGTATAGAAGTCATATATCATGTATATCTCTTTGTATTTTTTTTCTTTTAAGTTATATAATAGACTCTCCGCTGTGTAGTTGAGACACACGGATTACTTATAAATCTCCTTGTTCCTGATATTCAACATATATATTTATGTATATATATGTGGACATAATTAACTTGTACCGGTGTATGAATAAGAATTTTAACACCTATTTTTAACCAATGATTCACTTGTATCTAATGGCTTATATAACTAATTAACTAGAGCCATTAGATATATGTGAGATCAACCACTAAAATTAAGAGTGTAATTTACATTAATCTTGTTCATATATATAAATATAATAAAATTAATTTATATAAGTATAAGAATAATAAGTTTTACGCATTAATCTTTTATGGGAAAAGGGGTACTAAAATTACCTGTAGTAGATTCATAGAGTTTTAAAGAAGAATCAAATTAAAAGAATCAGTATACAGTGTCAAATTAGTAACACAAAACAAGAAGAACAAGGGAAAGGAAAGGCAAAAATAACAAAAGTAAAGACAATTCTGTCAAATAAAGTTACGCTTCTTATGCCTGCAGTCACAGATCAGACTTAAAAGGGGCACCTGAAGCAGGAATCCATCTATCTCCTTGAAGAAAAACCTTGATTGTAAACATGCTAGCTTTTTTACTAGTAATGGTTCTCAAACCCTTCCACTTCACCCTATTCTTTGTTATAGCACCTTCTCCAACATTCTGAAATTCTGCATAAAAAAGGGTGTCTGGTGCTGAGTTCCCCACCCATGGTAACCACCCTTTTGGGTTAATAAAGCTTTCCATTCTTGATCTCATGTATACTGTAGTTGAGTAATTCTTCCAGGGTCTTCCAAGGTATGTTTGGACAGAGCTCAAGTTCCCAAAGGGTGAAATGTTGCAATTTTGAATTGAAATCCCAGTGTTCATGTTAGGGTCAAATTTTCCCTGTGCTGTGATTGTGTTCTGCTGACCAAGTATTGGTAACTTTGGTAAAATATTGCAGTTTTGTAATATAACTGCAGAATTTCCAAAAATGAAATCAACTGTCCCATAAATGTTGCATTCTCTATAGAATTGGCGATTGGAATGAGCATAGAGAGTGTCCTGATATGCATCAATATGACATCTATAGTAAACTGCTCGATCAGCACTTGTCATTAGTGCCACTGCTTGTTGTTTCTTTGGACCAGCTGTGTTGCGAAAACCCATATCTCTTGCTATGAAATTCCTCCCAAACACAGCTGATTCCACCCAAAAAAGACAAAAATGTTATAAATATAGTATAAAAATTATTCACGTGTCTTCACCTAAACTCCGCCTATGTATATGCATGACCTGTCTCAAACCACGATAAATGAGGAGGGTGTCAGGTGTAGTGAGCAGACCGTAAAAGAAACAGCTATTTATATGAAATGAACCCTTATGATATGAGATGAACAGTGAATCTTCACCTAACAAGCTTGAGTTTTTAGTAGAGTTGGTCTAAGGCATGATATTTGAGCCTGTTCGACCAAGTGGTCTAGAGTTTGATACTTACTACCTATTCTTCTGATAAATTTTGTGAAATTTCTTGATACTGGTAGTGGACCTGTATTGTCCATTCTCGAAGTCCAATAAATTATTATACGAGGGGATGTATTAGAAATATTATATAAAAATCATTCATGATATGTCTTCATCTAACAACTTAATGTTTTTTGAGAGTTGGTAAAAAAAAAATTATTTCCTAGTTATCCCAACTTTTTTTATTACATGATACACATAATAATTTAAGAAAATTATTGAACAGAATTACATACCAAATGTTGCGGTTGAAAATGTTGGTGTGCCATCAACAAAGTTACGGCTGCCAGATACTATAGTAGCATTCATTCCGTCGCCAATGATCATCACATTCCATTTGGTCTTTTCTACCCTCACATTTTCATAGTAAACCCCTCTCTTCACATAGATCACAGTCCTCTTGTTACTCTTGTTAGGGACAAGCTTAAGTGCAGCTGAAATAGTTTTATATTTCCCACTGCCATCTTTGGCAACAACAATGTCAACTTTCCCTTTCAAATCCTTAGTTCCAAGTAACTTCCTGTCTTTTGAATGAAGCCATTCTGGTGCTTCATTCTGGAAAGGTAAACTCAGTAATCGCCTCAAGTTCAGTGTGCTTGAGGCCTTGTTGATCCATGTAATGATTGCAAGACTGTTACTAGTGAAATGTGTAGAATTTTTAAGATAGCTTACTACACTTTCTTTCAATGCTTCTTTTGCATCCTCAAAGCCTTCAATGCAAGTTTGCTGGTATGTACCTATGTCAGCACAAAACAAAAATAACATGATACTACTGTTATCAAACAAAATTAAGGCACATAAGATTCCAACCTAAGTTCCCAATTGTGGAGCACTAAGTAGTCCAATTTGGAGACTTATTTTGAAATCTGGTTGGAGTAGTTCTAGCAGAATCTAAGATAGAAAATGAGCTTTACCCTTTAATTTTTTTTTTTTTTTTTGGCAAACAAATTTTCTAGCTACACTTTTCATATGTTTCAATTCCAATAACATGGGAAAAAAGAAATTGACAAGTCTTAACCAGGATCACAACCTAAGGATCTATACTAAGAACTTATTGGGCTTATATGATAGATAACGCACAAGCCTACCTATCTGTGCTAAGAAATTTCGCACTTAAATATTTATTAGAAGAATGAGTTGACGAGGATCGAACTCGTGACCACTTCGTCATCGGCTCTAATACCATGTTATGACAACAAATTAATCTTAAAGCTTAAGCCTGTAAGTAATGTCCACATAATGATTTTTTATTAATATCTCTAACAAACACTAATCGTATAGCAAAAAAATATTATGCCTGTAAGTTTTGAAGATAGCATATATGCTTAATTATAATGATACCTGCGGCACTTAACCATGTTTCATGATCATCAAAAACATCAAGAAGGGAAGAATTTTCCGCAGAAGTCAAAGAGCTATTTAGGTGATCAACTGCAAGATCCAAAAGATCCCTGCAATTTTCCAAAGCTTCCTTAGTCCTGCTATCATTCAAGCCTTTGAAAACACCATTCTCTGAGAAAAAAATAACAGCTTTGGACACTTCAGTTAAGGCCACTTTGATTGAAAACTTGAACAACTCCTCAGGCTGAACCTGAACTTGCCCTGAATGATAAAGAGAGCCAAGGCTGCGCTATAGCATGAGTCCTTATACAAGGTCACATCACAAACAGCCTTAAAAGAATTGGTTAATGATTGAGCATTATTGCCACTTTGTGAGTTGCCACGAGAGTTATTAACAATTCCAAATACCGTAGCAAATACAACACCAGCAAGGATTATTGAGGACAAGCTTATGATTGTGATTCTCTTTCGGGTTTTCCTCCGAGCATCTAACATCATTTGCTCATGTTCATCAACTTTCCCATAGGATTTGAAAGAAGACATGCTTAAGGCTTGTGCTACTTTGTGTTTTGAAGCTTGTTGGAGTATGATCAATGGCGGGTAATTGGTGTGTCAACAAACATATATATATATATATATATATATATATATATATATATATATATATGGGTTTTATAAGAGTTATGTTGTAGGAAAAGTGATTGTGATTATGTTATAGAGATTCGTTCTGCGTGCCAATTTTTTTTTTTTTTTTACTGCGGGCCCCACAAAATGTTGTGTGTGTAGGAAACTTTTTGTGGTCATGTTAAATGATAGATGATAAAAAGGTCCTCAGCAAATTTTATGATATACGGGTTTAAATGATATATATATAAGTAAATACATTTTTTGGTCCTCAGAAAATTTTATGATACCCGCTTTAGTCCTTAGCAAATAAAAAGGTCCATCGTGGTTCCTAAGAAATTCAAAATGGACCCATTTTAATATGGGTCTTTTTTGAATTTGTGAGGGACCACGATTTCAACTAAATATGTCCATTTTGAATTTCTTAGGGACAACGATGAGCCTTTTTATTTGCTAGGGACTAAAGCGGGTATCGTGAAATTTTCTTAGGACCAAAAAAAGTATTTACTGTATCTATATATATGTGTGTGTATGATACTGTAAGGAAGAGATAGAGTTTGGTAGCATGCATCAGCTTTTTTACGTGCAAGGCACTTATAACCCCCATTGTATTTGCATGTTTACATGGAGTGCCAAACATGTTAGAGTGTGTTGCATCATAATTCGTTGACCAATTTCATTTTTTCTTTTATTATATGTTATTATTATCTTATTTGTTAGCTTGTTCTTATCTTCTAGTACATACTTTCTATTTAACTCACATGAACAAATGGTACTCTACCTCTATCATTCTTACAGTATTAGGTATTTTATGTATGATGCACGGACACAGGACACGAGACACGACACAATACGACACGCTGACACGTTAATTTTAAAAAATGACATATTTTAACATGTTGAGACACGTTTTGATACTCAATAATATTTTTAATATATATAATATAATTTATATTTAATACATATAACAGTCCATAATAAGTCATATAACCAATCAAATATTCAAATTTCATAACATAAATATACACAAAATAATGTTTCGTACCTTGTTAATTTTTCATGTCAAATTTCATAAAAGAAAATAAAATAAATTTATAAATGATTTTTTTTATTTTTAGTTAATAAAAAAATTAAGACTAAAAAAAAAAAACGTGTCCGAGCGTTGACCACATGTCCGAAAAAGTTGACTGCGTGTCGAAAAAACGTGTCGGAGCGTGTCAGAGAGTTGACCACGTGTCTTAAAATGTTGACCGTGTGTCGGACGCGTGTCCGAGCGTGTCGGATCGTGTCCATGTCAGACACGTGTCCGACACGTGCAATTCCAAAAAAATGCCGTGTCTGTGTATGTTAGTATTTTATTATAGGTTTATTTTTTCAGCAATAAATACAGATAAGTTATATATATATATATTGAGTTTAAAATAATATTATTTTGGGACAAAAATTAAATGTATTTTTATAATTATAATTTATTTTCAGATTATAATAGTTTTTATTGTTATAGTTTTTTAATCTTTTAATTCAAAACAACATCATTTCAAAAGTGAATATAGAGAATTTATCTGGATTTACTATAAAAACATTAAAATCTTTTATTATATTATAACTTGATACGGTCACCGCGCTTATATTTTGGTCCGAGTCCAACTGAATTAATTGAGAAATCAATAAACCGGTACAAAAATAAAGTATATGTATAAAGTTATTCGTTGTGTTATTAATATTATTATATCAAATTGTAGTTAAAAGCCTACAAGATGAAGCAGGGTGTGTTTATTTATGTGCAACTCAAAGGTCATAGTCTATGATGCACGGACACGGACACGGGACACAGGACATGACACGACACGACACGCCGACACGTTAATTCTAAAAAATGTCATATTTGGACACGTTGGGACACGTTTTGATATTAAATAAAAATTTTAATATATATAATATGATTTATATTTAATACATATAAGAATCCATAATAAGTCTATAACCAATTAAATATTTAAATTTTATTACATAAATATAAATATAAATAATTTTTCGTAGTTTGTTAATTTTTAATGTCAAATTTTATAACAGAAAAAAATTAATTTATGAATTATTTCTTTTATATTTAGTTAACAAAAAAAAATTAAGATTTAAAAAAATAAAAAAACAAAAAAATAAATAAAAAAATTAATAAATAAATAAAAAATAAAAAAACGTGTCCGAGCGTGTCCCCAAATGTTGACCGCGTGTCCCCAAATATTGACCGCATGTCGGAACGTGTCGGAGAGTTGACCACGTGTCCTCAAATGTTGACCGCGTGTCGGAGCGTGTCCGGATCGGACACGTGTCCGACACGTAAATTTCCAAAGAAAAAGCGTGTCCGTGCATGGGAGGTGATAGTCAATGTTTTCTCTTTCATATTTGGCTCTTTCATAATTAAATAATACTTTCTCACTAAATTATTACATTTATTCAGGAAATTGTTCTTAAAAAATTTAGCGAACGATCACGGTCAAACACTGCAGACATAAATTAAAGGGTCTCTCGCTTCTCACGTGATTGCTGATGAAAAAAGTTGCAGCAAATTTTTAACACTAAGAAACACGTGCGGATTCTACCAAAAAAAAAAAACAGGATTCGGACGCGTATCCTGATAAAAGTAAGTGTTGCTGTACTTTTTTCCTTCTGCAGTCACATAAGAAGTACTTTCCCTTAAATTAAATTAATTTTCACAATAAAGAAAACTCTATCGTCGTCGCAGCAGACGTTGTAACCAACTAAGAGTTAGAGATGAATTTGAGTTTTAATAGATCAACCTTTAGCTTAAATAAATTTTGTTTGTTTGTTTTTACCAGAAAAATAATATAAATTAATTGGTTTGTTAAATATAACATCTTAGCTTGGACTTGATATTTGACGAGAGTCCATGTAGTAGTTCCAGCACAGCTATTTCTTTCATTGAGGAGTTGTTACTTAGAGAAAAAAAATAAAATTTCTCTATTCTCCGTAGAAACAAATCAAAAAATATTCAATTTTCATTGATTTGGACCATTGAATCGTAGATGGGTCAGGACCATATTAAATATTTCCATATTTGACATAGACATATTTTTCTTTTTTGTGTCAAGTGAAATTGGGCTGAGCCGGCCTATAGGGGCTAGAGCCTAACTTATATCATACCAGACTCTGTCTATTACATATAAGGATGTGCAAAATAATCAAAAAACTGAACCGAACTGCCCTTAAAATAACCAGTTTTTAAAAATCAGTTCATAAACTGAACCGGTTTTAAAAAGAACCAGTTCATGAACCGAACCGGTTTTTAGAATCAGTTTAAGAATCAAACCGTTTTGAACCGAACCGAATTGTCTTCAAACCGAACCAAATTGATTTTTATAACATTATTTTTTAAATTTTAAATTTTAAATTTTTTTCTTTTCAGAATAGGGTCGACCTGAACCGGTTCCAAACCGAACCGAACTGTTCCCAACCGAACCGAATCGCTTTCGATCCAAACCACTTTCAAACCGAACCGAGCCATTTAAACCAATTCGGTTTGGTTTATTAAAAAAATCAGTTCGGCTCGACCCATGCACATCCCTAATTACATATAGTCAAATAGAACAAATCTGAACTTTTATAAAAGTCTATTTTTTTTTTTGATAACAATATAAATTTGTATATGTCGTACCTATAAGCCTACAGGTCGGCCTATATCATATTATTTATTTTAAATTAAATTAAATAATATTATTCTTAATAGTACCAAATGATAATAGTTTAGTTGATGCATATGAGCTAAGTAGGTGGTGGAAGGATCTAAGTTCGATCCCCCACCAATACTACCTATGGGAGTGACATTAAATTTGTACCGATCTCTACGGTAGCATTAGAATCAAAATTTTAAAGGAAGAATCGTTGATGCCTATCTTCTAGTTTGGCTGAAGATAGGGGTGTTCGCGGTCTGAATTGGATTGATTTTGGAAGAAAAAATCGTTTGATCCAATTCCTTCGGTTTGATCATATAATCATCCATTTGGTTTGGATTTTTTTTCAAATTCGATCCGATCCAATCCAATTTTTTTCGGTTTGGATTGGATTGGTTTTCGGGTTTTTGAAAATTCAAAAATTTAATTCATGATTATTGTGCAAATAACATCTTTTGTATATATTGGTTTTGTAATTTTTTTTTTTTGAAATACAAAAGCATCAATAAACGATAATATACTCTCTCTTTTTTGCAATGAAATATGAAGCTCTACACTGATGAAATTTTTTTTTTTTTTGTAAATAACACTGATGAAATTTTGTTGATGAGATGTGACTAGGCTTTTTCTTGGGTTTAGTTGATGGGTTAATGGGTCTTGGGTTTAGAAATTTTTGCGCTATAATTGAGGAAAGACCCAAGTAGGTAAAGGGAAATTAATATATTGGATCGGTTTGGATGTGATCGGTTTTCATCAATCAATCCAAAAATCGATCCAATCCAATTCAAATTTGCGGTTTTTTTTCGGTTTTCGGTTTTTTGATTTTTGGTTTATTCGGTTATCAGTTTTCCGGTTCAGTCACCGCGGTTTGAATCGTTTTGGATCGATTGATGAACACCCCTAGCTGAAGATATCATCCAAGCTGTAATATACGATAGAGATTGACTATGTAATCAGTAAGGCTTGAAGAAAAAACAAAAGTATAAAAAGGTTTTTTGTTTTTAATCTTATTTTTTTTCTTTCTATTCTTGAATCTTATTTTTTTTATTTTCTACATTTACAAATTATTTGTCAACTTATATAACCTTGGAATTGTATTTGCATGAGAGAGAAGATGATTAGAAGTTTTTGGCTACTACAAGCATTATGTTGCATTTGTTGGATTCATGCAGCTATTTTAACTTACATATTATGGATTGATTTGTTGGATCTGGTGAAATATATGTTATT